GCGTTCGAAATGTGGCTGAAGCTCAGACACCAATTGGTCATTCAGAGATGACGACGACGATGATGAGTCAAAGCCTACTGCTGAAATGGAAACTTCAGTGATTGAAGATTGACATCTTTTCTCGATTTTCCAATCATGTATTCTTCTCTTCCAAACTTGTACTATTGATATCCGAGTTCTCATAGCAGCGGAGGTAAGATGATAATGTATATATTGAATGAGATATGCTTATCGTTCATTGTCTGGTGATGAACCATGATGATGGTAGACTCATTCTCAGCATTACATGCACGCGGACAGTACACGTACACGTACGCGCATGCGTACAGACGAAAATCCAACAGAATAAAATATATGGCCGGCCCGTGTCTATATTAGTCCGAGGGCATTATCAACATTATATACGACGTCGACGACAATCTTCCGACACTATACGGCAGCGCTACAGTACGGCAGCAAGTCAAGTTTTCTAAAGTAAGGAACTCTCTCCTTCGTATTGGAATAAACGGCTTGGATGATGGATCATCGGGCTGCAATTGTTGAGAATGGCGGAATGAAAAAAATACAATCACTGAGACGTATGCGGTCATCGCCAAGACATCATCAGATACGATTTCGGAACGTAGCCATCGACTTGCTTCACCATGAGATGTCTGGTGGAACACAAGCCGTCGACATCATGATCGCTACCTATAGCTTGCGATGAATGAATTTCAAATTGAGTAACAAGTTGCTTGGTTGAAACCCGCTTTTGACCAGCCAATAACGCACATCGTGCACAATTCTCGGATTGCTTGGTTGAAACCCGCCTTTGACCGTACCAATAACGTACATCGTGCACAATTCTCGACAGTATCGATGCGAGAGGCCGGACTGTGGACGATATGGAACTTATAGAATGTGTGTCAAACGTAAATGCGGTAGCAGCCCCTCCTTGAAATGCAGTAGAGGCCGAGCGATTGATGGAAGGATGAAGCACGGAAAATATAGTCACTGAGGAAACATCCCATACCACTACATCAAATTCAAGCTGATTGTTACAGAAGCAACGTCTCACATATCGGACGCAAATAACTGTTTCTTCTTTCTTTGGCTAAAAAAAGGATGCGTGCTACCATTTCTACAATGGTTTGGTTATCCAATGTATTTTTTTAAAAGCAATGAATAATACCGATTGTGATTGTTTTTTAATCGCAGAAGTGACAGAACGGACCTGGTGGATTTGAAGAGACGTTTGGATTGGATTGTGATTGGCAGCTGGTGGCGCCGGAAAACGCGTTGTGCGCGTTTTCGATAGCATTGGGAGACAGGAGCAAGCCCCACGAACAAAGATTCCGATCGAAGGCTCGTGCGAAGTAGAACATTCCATGAATCCTTGTGACAGGAGATACATCCCATGATGACAAGTCTTGATTGAAGGCATATGCACGTTCAAACATCCCCCTCATATTTGTGACAGAAGACACATCCCAAGATGACAAGTCTTGATTGAAGGATCTTGTGTCTTTGAACATAAACCTCATGGTAGTCACAGAAGACACATCCCAAGATGACAAGTCTTGATTGAACGCAAATGCGAGGTTGAACATTAAATCCATGTCTGTAACAGAAGAAACATTCCAAGATGACAAGTCTTGATTGAACGCGTATGCACCATAGAAAAGTGACCGCATATCAGTGACAGAAGAAACATCCCATGATGACAAGTTCTGATTGAAGAGTCTTGCAAGCAGGAACATCGCCTGCATGGTTGTAACGGAGGAAACATCCCAGGATGACAAGTCTTGATTGAATGATGATGCACCGTAGAACATCCAACCCATGTCAGTCACAGAAGAGACGTCCCAGGGTGACAAGTCTTGATTGAACGATGATGCACCGTAGAACATCCAACTCATGTCAGTCACAGAAGAAACATCCCAGGAAGACAAGTCTTGATTGAAACTTGATCCAGTGTTGAAAGCACCGTAGAACATCCAACTCATGTCTGTCACAGAAGAGACATCCCAGTTTGAAATGTCTTCGTTGAAAGTTGTGCGATCTCGGAAGAGTTCAAACATACTGGTCACACCTGGACCAAAACACCAGTCTCCAATTGGACCAAATGTGTTTTCGACTAATCCCTTTGACCCAGAAGACTGAAACCAGTTCCCAACTGCATCAGAAAGGTCCTTATTGGATTGAAAACAAGTAAGTGCCTGAGGTGCAGGGGTTGGCACAGGAGTAGGTTGGGCGGTCGTGGGTCGAAGCGTGGGCGGAGGGGTTGGTGGCAAGGTAGGACCAGGTGTCGGAGGTACAGTGGGTCCAGGGGTTGGAAAAAACGTTGGTCCAGGAGTCGGTCCAGGAGTTGGTCCAGGAGTTGGTCCAGGAGTTGGGTTTGGCGTAGGTCGAGGAGTGGGAGGTACTGTAGGCGGTGGAGTGGGACCCACTAGAGCGAATGTTGGTTGAGGTGATGGTGCTCGGGTTGGTGGTGGAGTTGGTGCAGGGGTTGGAGCGAATGTTGGCAAAGGTGTTGGCGCTGGCGTTGGTCCTGGAATAGGCAAAAACGTCGGTCTTGGAGTAGGAAATAATGTCGGTCTTGGAGTAGGTCGTGGAGTAGGAAATAATGTAGGTCCTGGAGTAGGAAATAGGGTGGGTCCAGGAGTAGGAATTGGTGTTGGTCCAGGGGTAGGGCCTACAACGGGAGAAAACGTGGGTGGAATACTTGGTTCTGCGGATGGGTATCCTGTTGGATTTGCGCTTGGTCCTTTGGTTTCAGATGGTGGTAATATGGTCGGCTCTGCTGAAGGAGACGCATCGCTGATACTTGGAGATTCTGTTGGATCCATAGACCCAAGATTCACAACAATGATGCTCTCATACAGCCCAGTCAAATCAAGTTTCTCGATCACGAGACCACCTGCAAAAAAGGTACTGAGTTCACCAATCACATCAACAACTTTCACTGAATCATCTTTTACCACAACATCAAGTGCCACACTGACTCGATGACATCGTTGGCTCGAAACATCCAAGCATTGCACTCCTTTGACTCCAGAAGCGTCAACTGCCACATTTCCGATTGCATATGAAAACGCACCACCATCCAGATGGCGATGGTATCGCAGCTTTCGAACAATTCGATTGCATCCAGTAAGTGCTGGTGCCATCAATTCTCTGAGTTTATCTTCAATGATACCGGCTGAAATGCTCAGATCCATGGGAAGAAACGGCGTCGCATCGAGATCGAGCTGGTAGCTTTGTACCGGCATTGTGTCTTGATCTTGTATTGCATTTCCACCAGCAATGGCGGCACAGTCTTCTGTCGATGGTGGATCAAACGCAACCACAATGTTGGTACTAGTAGTAGGAGGCCCGGAAGGAGATGCACTTGTGAAAGGATTTTCAATCGCAACAGAATCTTGAGTTGGTGAGACTGTGTTGACTGGCACATTCGTTACATTCTCTGTGATTGGAATACCACCGACTCGTGACGAAGGTTCATTGGATGTATCGTTACGCATTGCAAGCCAAGCTGCAACAGCGCCGATTGCAAGGACAACGAGGCAAAGAAGGTAGCAACATATTCGAACACTCTTGTTCTGCTTGAGACGTTCCCAGTCTCTTCCGTTCGATTCTTCAATCTTTTTTCTTATCTTTCTGCTTGAATTATCATCAGACGCAGTTCCATCCATGGACTTGTTCAATAATTTCGAAGCGGCAGCACCACTTGCATCATTGTTAAGATCTAGCATTGAATTGAGTAGTGCCGTAGCAAGATCGGATTCATGGCTGTCTACAGCATTGGCCATCACAAGTCTATCCATCGTGTTCGTCGATTTCGAAGCAGCAGCACCACTTGTGTTGTTGTTCTGATCTAGCATTGAATTGAGTAGTGCCGTAGCAAGATCGGGATCGTGGCTGTCGACAGCATTAGCCATCACTAGTCCATCCATATTTTCTTCCTTATCAACTTCAAGCCTCGCTCGTTCTTCCACCGTAAACACTGATTGGGTTCCCAGAGGCCTGCGGTATCGTTCTTTTCCAGAGCTCTTTTCTTTTGCATCTTGAGTTCCGCGAGAATCTGCATGTGCACCAGGCATTGGTCCAGTAATGGCTTCACTCATTCGATCCATGAGATTGTTCGCCTTTGCAGCAGTATCTTTGATGTATCGATCTTGCTGACTTCTTCTTTTGCTTGTTCGATTTCTGTTTCGTGCTTGGATTGGTTCTACCACATCCGTATGGTCGATATCATCGGCACTGTCCGGCACCTTGGCCTCGTCTTCCGTTTTCTTGCTTCCCTTGCTGGTGTTTTCCTTTCCAGAAGCTTTGGAGTCTTTGGTATTGGCTTCGGATCCACGAGAGTCCGCATGCGCACCAGGCATCGGTCCAGTTGCAAGATCGTCGTGTGCTCCTCGATTCAAGAGTCTCTTTGCCTTTGCGGCAGCATCCTCCTTGGATAGTACCACTCTATCTTGCTGGCTTTTTCTTTTGCTACTTCGATATTTGTTGTTGCTGCGACCTTTGCCTGCTACAGCACCAGTGTGATCGATGGCATTCGTCCCGGATACACCACTGTCACGTTCAGCACGAGCCTTATCCTTGGCCTCCTGCTCTTCTTTGCTTTTTTTGGTTCGACGCAGTTCATTGTTGCTCCTCTTTGGACTGCTGCTGCTAGAAGTGCGATGGGATTTCCTTGTAGAGGATCTGCTCCCACTGCTTCTTGATTTCTTGGTGCTGTTGGTGATGAAATCGTCCATGATGCATCCAATCTGCCTGAAACGCGGTGATGTGAGAAGAAAATAAATAATATGAAACTACACTCGTAGGTAGGCACTTTTGGAGGGTGTTTCGGCAGTTATATTGCGTGGGAAATGGAATTCGAGCCGCGGTCGAAAAATAGACGAAACGCCTGTGAGATGACCGAGAAATTTCATCACTTATGGGAAATATCTGGCAAACTATCCCTTCGCGATTCAGTAAAGTTATGAATGACCAAAACAACGACTAGATGAGCTGACGAGTTTTCGGGATATATTCAATATGGGCTCAAAATGATATCGAAAAACTGTTCGTGATGATATAAAGCATCTTGTCCGAACGTCGAAATATTCAATCGGACACTTCCTCAAATACGCCGTACCTGGTACCAGGTACAATACGCGCGGTATATGCGATATGCGATAGGTGACAGCTGGCACATCACGTAATTTATATTCTCACCGAAGCAACTTCTACTATATTGTCACTGTATCATTTGGGCACAATCAGCTATCGATCCCCCCACATTTATCACTTCATCACTTCGCATCACATTCATTCATAATATTTCTACATCATGACACCAACTGCTATCAGAGCCATTCGATCTTCTGGCCTGTCATCCGGTCTCCTGATGCGACGAGCATCATCACGCCATTGTTGTCTAGTACTGTCCAATAATACGTTCCAAGCATCCAGGTCCTTTTCTTCGTCTTCAGGCGGTGGATCATCAAATCTTCCCTGGCAAATTGGCACCGTCGTGGCCATGGTGGGAACCTACGTTGTTGCCACGAAGGGAATTGCCT